CATTGGAATGGGCTGCCCAGGGAAGTGGTGGATTCTCCGTCCCTGGAGGTTTTTAAGATGAGGCTGGACGTGGCACTTAGTGCCATGGTCTAGCAACTGTGGTGGTAGTGGTCAAGGATTGGACTTGATGATCTCAGAGGTCCTTTCCAACCCGTCTGATTCTACGATTCTATGATTCTATGAAATGTTAGACCCCCTCAACATAAAGGCAACTGTGTGCATGAAAGCGACCCCGAGATACACTGTTCAGGTGTACAACAGCTAAAAACACTTACCAGTGTTTTTCTCAGGCGCTCGTATTCTGGACGATACTCTCTGAAAAGGTAAATAAAGAGAGTGCATTCAGTCTGAAAAACACATGATTTGTATTACATAAGGATCATCCTGGAGGCTTCTTTCTACCCAAAAAAATGTTTTCCCTAGGCTTTCATGTTTGAGAGACATTTCAGAAAGACTAACAGTACTTTTTTCCCCAGATTTGGATTCTGAAACCAATGGATGCAAGATCAATGAACTTACTTCATTAAAACAGCAATAATTTAAACCTTGGTATGGAATTACAAGAAAAAAATTACTTCACAGATTTGCTGGCACAGATAGCTTTTACTTTTTCATGGAACAGCACAAAAATTCATCTCTGAATAGTTCCTTTTTACTGCTGCTTTTTATGCTGATACTGGACACCCTAAGCTACCTTGGCTATGGCAACTGTACACTCCTTCAAATCAAAGGAGCAGACTCATGAATCAGAATCTTCAGGAAGTGGTCACTGGGTCGCGGACCAAAAGTTATCCCCTTACCTCTCATATTCATCTACAGCTTTAGAAAGCTGGGTAAAAAACTCATCCAGTCCTGTGCCAAGCACTGCAGAAACACCAACCACCTGGAAAAGAAAACACACCAGAAGTAGAGAGTAACAGAGTCAGATTTTTAATACAGAAAAAAAAACAAAATAAAAACAAACAAACAAACAATCCCCCACATCAACAACAAAAAAATCAACACCACCAAAAAACCCAACAACAACAAATAACTACTAATCTAAACCTAACAATACCCATTTAATCAGCACAGTGGCCTAAGAGCAGGCAGTAACACTTCTGCTTCTGTCCAGCCCGCTTTCCAACTCTTCCTCCACTTGCTGCTCATGTTTGTTACTTCTGCTTTTTGGTTGTCGGTGATTTTCTGTTTGGTGAGTTGTTGGGGTATTTTAGGGGGTGTTTCTTTGGGGAAGGAGGTTTGTTTGGTATTTTTTAACACCACAGGGCAATTCAAAAGAAAGGTCAAGTCTTTCTGCTGTTTACTTGTTTATTGTTAATAACCCAAGTTCTCATTCTGCATCTAGGGTTATAAATGGTTAGCAAGTATCAGTGTAGTAGAATTAAAGTGTAAAAGAGACAACAAGAACTGATCTTTTGGCTCTGAAATAGTCTAATACTTTTTATTTAGCCAAAGCACGTTTAAAAGGTCCCCAGAACAGCAAGAGATGGAGAATTTAATCAGTTACTGTGACAATACATTCAAAATGCACATCTACTTTCTAATTTCAATTTGTGTATCATTACACTTCTGTCCATTTGTTCTGCTTGTATTAAATCAATTATCTAAAAATACCTTTAATTAACACTATTACCAGCCAGAATCCTACATCCTCTAATGAAAATTCTCCCTCTTTTTCATAGGCAAGACAGTCTCAACTACTGACTTCCAAATGGAAGACCTTTCCCAACACAGCCTTGCATTTGATCATTAATACAGTAAATATGCAGACAGCTCTCCAAAGGATTTTAAGCATTAAGGCCAGGCACTGTGCCAATATATATAAATATTTATACTTTCCCTGCACTTAAGTACAAGCTGCCTTTTACTCCGTAATCCTCTTCATATGACCTGCTCTCCATCCAGTGCTCTAAGAGTTCTAACAGGCAGATAAATATGACCTGATCAGCAAATAAGGAACAGGAAGTATGTTAGTTCTGTATATGGGACCACTACAATCCCTTTTGAAATTCTGTATATTGTTCCACATAGGACACTTACAATATTTTTGTTTTGGCTCTATTATCATTATCTACATGAATGGAATCATTTCGTTCCTGTAATATCCACACAGCCAAGAAGGCTTGCTTTTTCTTTAGTAAAAGCTGATGACAAACACAATCAGCTAAAACCTTTAGCACAGACTATGGGATCATTAACAGCCTCCAATGTATAGTGTTGTCAGAGAAACAATTAATTTGTCCGCTCAAAACCTGGTTGAGTGGAAGAACAATATTCTTCTTGCACAAGCAAATGTAAAGGGTTTTTTTGTTCATTTATTTGTTTTTGAGATTCTTTCCTTTCTTCCTATGTAGTACATTGCCCAACTGTACCTGACACTTTCAGAACAAGGAAAATTACCTCAGGTGGGAAATGCTGCAGCAAAGAACACTGCCTCTTACCAGCCTATCTTAGCTTTCATCTTGTGATTAATCACAGTTCAATATTAAATTATTCGGGCTGCCATTCAGTGTGACAAGCTGCTAAAGTTATTGTATGTTCAAATCAGCAAATCCTCAACACAGGTCATCAACAGATTACAGTTCAAAAGGGCAGTGCAAAGCCCCTTTCCAGAAGGACAGAATGGTGGAGGTTGGACAATACCTCTGGAGATCATCTAGTCCAATCTCTCCTGCTCAAAAAGCAGGATTAAGTAGAATAGGTTGCTCACTTTGCCTGAGCAAAAGTGTTTTAAGCATCTCCAAGGATGGAGACTCCACAATTTCTCTGCACCATCTGTTGCAGTGCAGAATTAGTAAAACTAAAGCATTTTTTCTTCTCTTCTGTTTGAACACACTTTCCTGTATCTCCCCTTGTGTCTGCTGTCTCTTGTCCTTTCCCCACGCCCCAGTGAACAGAGTCTGCCGCTCACCTTCCTTACACCCTCCTACCAGGCATTTATACACATCAAAAATATTCTCCTTGAACTTTCTCTTCTCCAGGCTTTTAGGAGAGGTAATAAAAAAAGGAAGACCTTTACCTTCAGTGAACTGTAAAATTCATCCAACACTAAACTCATAGAACGAGTCAGGTTACTGACATAGGAAGTCTCTTGATTCAGGGCATCCTGAAAAGTCTCGAAGTCCTGCATCCATTCCACTGCAAAACTGTGGTCAATTATGTCAGTCTGGAAGGAGAAGGGAAAATATTCAGAAGTAACAATCTTACCCGCAGGCTGTTAAGTGGACAAATGAAAAAAAATCCATGTTAAATTTATTTTTAAAATGTTGATCTTTTAAAAATATTCAGCCCTGGTCTGAAGTTTTGCAAGTTCACTTTTTATCAAATCAACTACGTGAATACAGGAAGAGAAGACAAACAACCACTTCTCCAGGTTTAGGAAGGCAACAGTTGTTTAAGGAAACAATTGCAACTCTAAAGCCTCCTATGGTTTTACTGGAAAGGGGCACCCAAAAATTGCATACTGCACAACGAAGTTTAAGGTGTAAATAGTAGATCATACGATTGAGGCCAGACAAGAACAACCCTTGGTGAAGATCCCAAGCTTCCCTGATTGCCTGGGGGCCACTTCCACGCTGGGAACCCCCTGGGATCTTTCTGAAAGCGAGCTGTGTTCTGGCCCAAAGAAGTGATGATCTAAACTCAGTGCAAAACAACTGCCACAAACAGGTGAGATAGTTCCACAATTTTACATGAATTCATATAAAAACAGTGTATTACAGAGTTTCATAAACATCTTGCCACATGCATATCCACTCTTCACAATATGAGGTGCCTAAAACTCTGATATATTTCATTGCCCTCACCAGTGGGAAGGAGGAAGATAAAGTATTACCTAGCATTACTCAAGAGATTTGAGACGGAACTGAATCCACCAAGGGTCAAAGCCTGACTACTTAGAGTTAACTTGACTAAATTCTGTAAATAAAATTAAATCACTTCCACAAATTACTTTTTTCCCTCTCCAAATCTTAAAATTCTTTACATCAATGGGTTTGTCACTTCACATATATCCCAGTTCCCTGGGATTCTTCCATTCTTATCGAGAGTCAATTTTAAAAAATTAAATTTATTTAAATACTGTTAAAAATTCTTCCAATGCTATTGGCTTTACTTTTTAGCAAAAGCTAAACATGAGATCAAAATGAAGTTTAAAGTGATGAATCCTAAGCCTCAGGCCTACCTTTCCTTACACACATAGTGCCACTTCTTTTAGTCTTTCAAAAAGTGTATTTTCTTAAGAGAGACTTATTTTCCTACCTCATGCCTTTTTCTACAGAAATAAAAAGCTGGAAAACTTATTCTTATATTACTGTCTAGTGTCAGAAAGAAAACAGTGTACAAAAAGTTGCTCAGTAAGCAAGCAGATACCAAAGATATGCATGGTTTGGGTCACCGGGCAGATGGGTGGAGTTGGAGCACAGCAGACACTAATCCTACTCAGCTGGTGTGAGGGAAATATCCCAGTCAAAGCCTGGCATTCGTGTGTGCACATACAAAGCTTGCTGAGTTGGAGATGCAAACACAAAGGATGCCTATGGAGAGCAGTTACTCACACCAAAAATCTAACGGGATTCTTTTAATATCTGAAATTATCATGTTTAAAGATATAGCTGTTAAGCTCAAAAGCATTAAGGCTACAAGTTCCTTACACAACAGTGGATGTGTATTCTTAGACTAGTATCTGCTCTCTAGCAAATACTGCACCAAACATCTTCGTTAAGTTTTGCCTGCTACAACAGGTGGGACTCCTCAGTCAAAACAGGCAGGGGTTACACCACTGCCACTGCGAGTCATTAGCCTGCTGCTGAGTGGAAATCATTACTAATGAAGATAAATATTCTGGGAAAACAAGCCATGTAAAAGCAGATTCTGGCATGACCTTACCCTTTTTTTAGAGAGTTACGTTTCCCTATAATCCAGGCTTAAGGTGCAAAACATGTTTCAAATTGTTAGCACCCTCTCTGACTTGAATATTTGGGTGCAACTGCCCATCCCTGATTATTCTTGTGCATTTGGATATCAGATTAAAGACCCTTTTTAGATTCGGTTATCAGCCTGCATCTCCCTCCCAGCCTCTCTTTTCTAGAAAAATCTATTATTGTGGTAAGACAAAGACACCACAGCAAAGAAGCTAAACAGAACAATGTCGCATGAGGACACAGAAACTAGAGCTTTAACTTACTTTGTTCATGACTACAATGAAAGGTAGCTTTGTCTTGTACAGGATACTGGGGGGGAGACACAAAATAAAAGTTTAATTTAAAACTTCCTAGAATAGAAAGCAATTTAAACATAAGGCAGACAAGACTTGTGCAAAACTGAATACATTTGACTTCAAAAGATAATTATTTTCCTCTGCACCTAATAGAATGTAATTTTCACCCAGGTTCTGCTTACAATCATTGAATAAAATATGCTCCTCCAAGATGTAAGAAATAAAATCTCCTACATACCCAGTCGAGTTTGGTTACCATTTTCTATGATGGTAAGATCCTGGTTTTGAACTCTCTGTGCATTTTGCATTTGACTCAAACCTTAGGTTCTGAGAGATTATTTGTGAACTGAGCAATGAATTCAAATAACACAGAACATCTATAAAGCAAAATTATCTTGGCACATGAGCTGACATATTCATTTCGCTGTATATATTCTATGATCTTTTGCTCAAACTAAAGTCAGAAAATGCAATATGTAGTAAGACACAGTTGGCACACTCCTATCACGGTGATATAGCTCTTGACCTTGGTACAAGGACTGAGAGGTTTTTTGAAAACCTTTTACCAACATTTACCATGAATTATGACAGCTCTAGCTATGTTGATGGTTCCACAGGTATTTAGTCTCTGGTATGACATGAAAGACAACAGATAAATTCATGTAGGAAGAAGAAGACAATAAATCAAGAGCTCCATGCTAGGCTGAACTCCAAACAAATCTTGAAGAATCTCTTAAAAGTATCAACGACATTAAAAAATAGAATAAAATACTATGTATTTACAAGAAGGAGCTTAAACTAGCCTACCTTGATTCATCTTAGATAACTGGGTTTATAAGCAATAGGCAATATGTTAGATCTAATATAACCAGCCTTCCTCATGCTAAGGTCTCGTGGATTATTTAATGCTTTCAGTGGAAGTTTTGACCCAATGACCTCCAGATGTCCATTGGCACCTAAATTATTCTGCTTATCCAATGGGAAAACCACTAAAAGAATAACCAAACCAGCAGACTAAGTGGATAGGAGGCATCCAAGTGCACTGCCAAGCACAAATCCAACGGTCCCCTGGGCTGCATCCAACCCAGCGAGGGCAGCAGGGCGAGGAGGACGATTCTCCCCTCGTACTCCGCTCTCATCCCACCCGGAGCGCTGTGTCCACCTCCGGGAACCACGGCACAGATGGACCTGGCAGAGTGGGCCCAGAGGAGGTCACTAAAACCATCAAAGAACTAGAAGGCCTCTCCTATGGAGACAGGCCAGAGATTTGGGGTTGTTCAGCCTGGAGAAGACTTCAGGGAAGTTTTACTGCAGCTTTCCAGTAAATAAAGAGATTTATAAGAAAAATTGAGAGAGACTTTTTACCAAGGCTTGTAGTGATAGGACAAGGGATAATTTTCAACTGAAAGGGACATACTGACAAAATTTTTCATGATGACAGTGGAGAGATATTAGAGCACATTGCACAGGGAAGCTGAGGTTGCCCCATCCCTGGAACTGTTCAAGGCCAGGCTGGACGGGACTTGGAGCAACCTGGCATAGTGGAAGGTGCCCCTGCCCACGGAAGACAGGGTGGCCTTTAAAGGTCCCTTTCAAACCAAATCACTCTATGATTCCCCTCCAAAATAACTACCAAAGAGACACAGCAGTCAAAGCAGACGGACTGCATTTCCAGCTTTTCTTACCTGCAGGCATACAGCATGTTGGACATAAAAGTGATAGGGTTAGTACTGCGAGAAGTGTCCATCACATATACAACAACTGAAGGAAAAGAGGAAGCCTGGGAACACAGAGTAAAAGACAGTTTAATTAGGAGTACACTGAGCAATAGCCAGGTCATTCATAGAGCTTCACTGTCCAGTCATACAAAAAGCACTTACCAAGGCCTCAGTTATGATGGTTCCTGATGCTGACCAGGTGAATACCTCAATTTGCCCAGGTGTGTCAAGAATAACATACCTGGTAAGAAGTCACCCCAAACAACAAAAAGGGAAAATTAGTGAAGCACGGGGTCCTCTTCTGACTAGATTACCACCAGCATTCAATAGCAAATGCCACGACTATTCTGTTACAGATGAGAAAACCCTGTTCTCCCAAAGAGTGATGAGATTTATGGGCACGCCTGAAAATTTCCTGTGAGAAATTTGTAACTAAGAAGTATGTACTATCTTGAGCCGAAGGCATCAATTTGACAGACACTTAGGACAGCAAACTCTTCAGAAGAAGAATTCATTGCTGCCTATTTGAACAGTATGTGAGAGAAAATGACAGTCTAATGGAAGACAAGAAAAGCAGAACTGGAATCAGCAGACTTTTCTTCAATCTAGCCAAAGAAAGTCTAGTTTATCTGTTCTAATTCTATGCCCTTTTCTACATGAAACTTATACCAAGGCTGAAAAAACAACTAGAAAACATGGAGAGAAGCTTTTTAGAATTTCACATGATTTTCCCAAACTGATCCCAGAAAAGCAGAACTCAGTAGAATGTACTCACCTCGAGGCATTTTGTCTTTTTTCAATAAACTTCATCACCTGATTGAAAAAGCAGAGTATACTTGGTATTTAGGCTTACAATAGGAAATCTTCAGCTTCATTTCATAAAAGAAACTACATTAACTTGCACAGCTGCAGGTGCGTATCAAAATGTTAAAGTCTTTAAGCTTTTCAGAGTGTGAGAATGCCCTACCAAGGAAGGCTGAAAAATGCTCAGACCCTGCATAGGTCAAAGACAACTTTGATTTTGTCTGTCTTCTAGTACCTGGCTAAAGAAACGGTAGAACAACTGCAGTTGTTCTTGCCTTTTCACTGAGAGATTGTCTAGGTATGTGACATCAGCCCCCACCCCAGAGCTGCTTTAGTGTGATGATTTAGGAGGGCTGTCAATTATCAAATTGAAATCAGGAAAACTTAACCTGTTTCCAGAAGTGAGCTTCCCTACTTCAAAACCAGAGCATTCATATGAAAGATTTTATAGTGAACATGGTGCAACAACAGTCCTATACAAAGACTAAAAAATGTTCTGTACATGTGGCTGCTAAATTTTACTTTAAAGAAAAAGCTGAAAAACTGAAATCTCTCAAATGACAGCTAATGTACTCTGACTGCATTGTTAGATGCAGGGTTCTGTAGGGAGAACACCCCTCCAGAAATATTAGAAGGCTAACCAAACACAGTGCCCTCTGAGACTTCAGACAGACAAAACCACACAGTCATTGTAGGCACCCAGCACAGATCATAGGAACAGCACACAGAAACAACCTTGTACCTGGTCAAATCTTGTAGCAAAGAGATTGAGAGAGGTCACTATTCCACCATTTGGGCCTAGTCCATATCTGATGCTTCATTTAGGAAAGCAGATGGTTATGCAGACCCCAGAGGGCTTCTTTTTCAACTCTGACAACACCTGGCCATGTGCAATGCACACTGGATACCTTGAAGCAAGAGACAATACCCCCTAAGAAATTATTAAATCTTCTAAGTGATGCAGCAGCATAACAAATACAAAGTGTCTCTCTCTTACCCAAACAGGTGTAATTTACAGAAGGAAAAGGGGCTGAGGGTTTCCTCGTGACATTTTTGCTTTAACTGTGCAAGAACCAGCACTGACTCATCTGTACACACTGTGTTATCAATCACTACTCTCAATACCCAGACATGAGGCCAGACACCCTCCCTAGGCCCTACTTAATGAAATACCAAAACTCCAGTAATGGTTAACAGACACGGTGAAACGAATAATGCACCTACATATCAATTTGAAACTTATATTTAGGATGTTTTGCTGGTAACCCCAAAAGAAATAACAGCCAAAATCAAGAATCCTATTCCCTACCACCTTTATTCTTGTCTAAAATACTAAATTTAAGAGTCATACTTGTAAGTCAAATCCAAGGACTGTGTTTTGTCTCCATCTGCACAAGCTATTACTTAGGAGACCAAAGAGCTCCACAGCCCTCTGGAAGTGCAGTTGCTTTAGTGTAATGTTACTGCACTACAGCCATCAACCCTCTGTGAACAAGAGCCAATGTTCCAATGTCTCTGAGATTCAGAGAAACAACAGTGCTTTGATTATGGTCAGAGAATGTGGAAATAGTTTTCCCATCTACTACAGGCAAACAGGAACGTCTATATTTGCTTATAACATATAAAATGAGACTAGTTAAAACATGGGAAAAGGCTGCTGGCTTCCACAAAAAAATAAACAATACAAGTTCTCTGAAAGAATAAAAAAGAAAAAAAAGGGAAAAAAAATGTGGGCAGAGTACCTATTATCTGTAAAAACTTACTGTTAGGCAGAATAATTTTTAGCACAGGAGAAAACGACCCAAGGAGCATTAAATCTTGTAGAACACATGTTCCTAATGTCACATGCAAGAAATACATAGTCAAAACCTTGTGATCTTGATGCAACATTCTGCATTACTACAACCCCCCCACCTTGTGGGATGGTCCTGTGCAGGGCCCAGAGTTGGACACCATGATGCCTGTGGGTCCCTTCCAATTCGGCAGATTCTGTGATTCATCACAGTGTGCACGTGACAGGTTATTTTCACAAAACTCGAGATTTCAAATATCATTATTTAGACAAAAAAAAGGATACTGTTTCATGACTTCTTTGTACTTCACAGTGTCTCTGATATCTAAGGGAGAAAGACACATAAGCAGCTTTCCAACCCCCAGCTGGTGCCCATCAGCTAACAAAGCACACCTATCTATCCACATTACTAGAAATCTATCACTGGGATGGATATTCCAATTATTACTCTGACATCAGTGAAACAACTTGCATACCCACACAGCCTTTCTTAGCCTCTGGAAAGGCAGGCTGGCATACTTCACAAAATGTAAGACACAGGATTGTGACAAAACTAGGGATTGGTATGCCCTTTGGAATATCTAGACATAAGGTCTGTTCTATTAGTAAGATATTTCCTCTAAAATTTGTGTCTTTTAAAGTGCTTTAAAGCTGTTAGTTGGTAGCATTTATGGCTACCACTATTGTAGATGTAGGGAACCAGATAAAATCTGCTAATACTTTCATCACTGAGAAAGAAAAAAACCTTCAGAACCCAAACACATCAAATCAGAGCGGATGATGTAAAAAAACATACAAAAGTGATGGAAGAATGCCTTTAATTCTAAAAATTCCCATATTAAAGACTGTTTCGAGAAAGAAGTTAACACTTTAAAAACAAACAAACAAACAAACAAAAACCAACCAAAAAAACCAACAAAAAAAAAACCACCAAAAAAAAAAACCCAAAACCAAAAAACCACCACCATCTTCTTGTATTAGAACTTGGAATCTCTTAGGGGCAACCCAGCCAAACAGCTCACGTACCCGCCCCCGGTCCCTGGGACAGAGGCCGGCTCTGTCGCTATTGATGGCACTTGCTGTCTCTCGGAGGACTCCAGGTACACGCCGCCCATCCGCCCGGGCCCACCCGCGCCCGCCCCCGCCCCGCCCCGCCCGTCGGGCCCCGCCGGGCACAGCGCTCACGATGTTGGCGGGGAAGGGCAGGTCGTGCACGGCGGGGTCCAGGTTGATCACGTAGGGGGGGCAGCGCTGCCCGTGCAGGTGGGCGGCGAGGCACTGCGGAACACGGAGGGCTCAGGCCCGCTGGGAAGCCCCGGGGCCCGCTGGCAGCGCCCCGCAGCCCCCCGCCCCTCACCTGCACGAAGGTGGTTTTCCGGAGCCGGCCATGCCCAGCACCAGCACACACACCGGGCTGCCCGCCGGGCCTCCGCTGCCGCCGCCATCTTCCCAGCTCCCGCTTGTTCTTCCGGGGCGTGGGGCGGCCGCGGCCCGGTCGTGACGCGCGGCCCGGCTGTGGCCCTGCAGCCGCCCCGCACCTGCGCAGTCTCGCGCGGCCTCCCGGCGCTGCACGGCGCGCGGGGCCCGGGGCGGGCGGCAGCATGCGGAGGCGCTTCGGGGCGGCCGCGCCGCCAGGGCGGCCGGAAGCGGCGAGCGGGACGCGCGGGCGGGCGCGGCGCTGACGTGGCGGCGGCACCGGCACCATGCGGGGCGGCGGCGGCGGCTCGGTGAGCTGCCCGCGGTTCTCCCGCCGTTGCCCCGGGAGCGCGGCCGGGCGGCGGGCCAGGGGCTGCCGCGAGGTGGGCTGCGCCGTCGGGGATGGCGGGAGCGGCCCGGCGCCCCGGGGGTCTCGCTGGCCTGACTCTGGAAGGAGAGCGGCCCGGCCCGGCGCGGGGACAGCCCCGCTCTGTTCGCGGGCGAGCGGGACCCGCTCCGGGCTGCCGGGGGGCGGCGGCGGCAGCGGCCGCTTTCCGCCCAAAGGCCGGGCCCGCCCCTGACTCTGCTCGGCTCAGGCCTGGCACGGACCCGCAGCTGGGCACTGCTGACGCTTTGCGCTGGGGCCCAAAGGCCTTCGCTGCAGGACAGCGGAGTTCATGGAGCGTGCGGGTGGCAACGGGAACGTGGCGCTGGACACTGAGTCCCCCCGCGCGTCCCGGGGCACTCGGGGCCCGCAGGACGCCCGGCGCTCCCACCGGCACCTCAGGACCCGCAGTTCCTGTGTCAGAATCCTCCCGTCGGGCAGTTCCTGCGTTGGGCTTAAGCACCGTGTGCCTGGGCTGGATGCTGGGGAGCAGCCGTGTCCAGCAGCAGCCGTGTTCCTACAGGAAGGGCCTACAGCCCCGAGGCAGGCAGAGATCGCCGTTCTCCATCTTTCAGTCTCTGAGCCGCTGTTTCTCTTCCTTACCTGTGCAAGGGAGGTGGCTTTTTATGTTTTCCTTATGTCCAGCCCTTGGGCATTCCTGCATACATTAGGTCTCCTCTTTAAGTGGGAAGTACACTGTATAAAAGAAAAAGCATTCAGAACTGAACTTAAACACCACTTTCTATAGGTGTTTCCTTCGGGGTTGCTGCTATCAACATCTCAGAAAGGAATGTCTGACAGATCGTCTGCACTCTCCTTTTTTATTGCAGATCCTTTGCTGCCACCAAAGTTCTGTGTACTAATCTTCACTTTTATGCAAATTTTTTTAGTTCTAAAAACTCCATGAATCTTAAAACATGTGCAACGTTTTGCGGTCATTTTGGTTCTTCTAATGGTAGAATAGGTCAACTAATTTCAGCAGACTCTGTCTGCCTGTTTCTTCATTTTTATTGCTGTAACTTTATAGCCTTGACTTTTTCTGGCTGCTCCTCAGTGAGGTTTCTCCACATTTCTCATTTCCTTAACATTTCCATGAGGAGTGTCTGGGGCTGGAGGCCCAAGGAGAGTCTGATGCTACACAGACAGTTCTAAGAATTCCTCTAAATGTTTGTGTCAGTGCGTGCTACTGAATTTGCTCACTGATGGTTGGAGTGTCTCTTACAGTTGATCACATGCATCACATTTTTCTATAAAGAAGACATGTAATTTAGCAATATTTTTTTTTCCTTCTTTTATTTTTTTTCTTCCAGTTTCTTAGCCAGTTCATGTACATGGCAAAATACTACCTCTGTTCACTAAATTGCAGTTTTGGTTTTCATATGCTTCCCAATGGCAATGATTTTTTTTTTTTTTAGTCTATATAACCAAGATTTTTGTCCTGGGTTTCCGAATCAAGAATGACATTGAGCCATTATTAGCATTTGGAAGAAGGTGATGATTAAATACAAAGGGTAACAGTGAATGGGGTGACATCAGAGTGGCAACCTGTCACTGTTTTAAATTTAAAAATAAATTAAAAAAAAAAAAACTGGGAGGAGCTGTTGACTCCCTTGAAGGCAGGAAGGCCCCACAGAGAGACCTCTACAAATTAGAGGGTTTGGCAATCCCAACTATATGAAGTTCAACAAGGGTGAGTGCCAGATTGTGCCCCTGGGATGGGGCAACTCCAGATGTACAGACAGACTGGGAATGAAATGCTGGAAAGCAGTGCTGGCAAAGGGCCCTGGAGGTCCTGGTGGGTGGCCAGTTGGGCATCAGGCCCAGCATCGCCAGCAGGGTCAGGGAGGGGATTGTCCCACTCTGCTCTGACCTGGGGCGGCCTCACCTGCAGTACTGGGGCAGTTTTGGGCACCACAATATAATAAAGATATTAAGCCCTTAGAGAGCATCCAAAGGAGGCAGCAAAGATGGAGAAGAGCCTGGAGGGGAAGCCGTGTGAGCAGTGGCATCGTGTGTTCAGCTGGAGAAAAGGAGATTGAGGGGAGACCTCATTGCAGTTACAACTTCCTTGGGAGGGGCAGGCACTGAGCTCTGCTCTTTGGGGACCAGGGACAGGACTCCAGGGAATGGTTGGAGCTGTTCTGGGAAGGTTTAGGTTGGATATTAGAAAAAGGTTCTTCACCCGGAGGGTGGTTGGGCACTGGAACAGGCTCCCCAGGACAGTGGGCACAGCACCAAGGCTGTCAGAGTTCAAGAGGCATTTGGAAAATACTCTCGGGCACATGGTGTGACTCTTGGGGAATGTCCTGTGCAGGGCCAGGAGTTAGACTCGATGATCCTTGTGGGTCCCTTCCAACTCGGCATATTCTGGGATTCTGTAAAATGATTGTCCACGCACTAGGAGCAACATATAGCAAATAAGTTGTTCATACTGAATTGGGAATGTACATTTAGATAGGTCTGTTAAATTACATGTTTTAATAGGAGCATAACAAGTGGTAAGTGACAAAAAAAATCTTTGTTAAATAAGAAGGAGTCTGTGATGTGGATAAAGTGAACATCTGGACAGCTGATGGAGTATGGCAAAGTGAGATTAATGAAAAGAGCACGAAGGAGACTAGAGACAACATTCTCGGCAACATCCATGGTAAATACAAGAAATAATTAAGGAAAAAATAAGCACTGTGTAAGAACTAACAAGTTAGGATCTAAAATGTATGTCACCATGTGATAAAGTCTAAGCAGAAAGTATGTATGGCTGAATGTACTGGAAACAAAGAACACTCCACCATTTCCCATTGCAAGAGGAAGAATTGGCTTTCATATCAGGAGGGTGGAGGGGCTCATCCCTCTTTTGATTCCAGTTCTCATTCAGCTGGAATTGGAAATGTTAAGCACTTCCACTGTTGTGGAAAACAGTGGTTTCCTTTTCGAAGGGTGGTGTATACACATCTGCAATGTGCAGGTGATTGGGTTTGACTGGAAAGTGGAACGTGCTGAAAGAAGACAATGAGGATGTTCATGTGAATTGTTCTGTTTTGTTAGCACACCAGGACTGGACATCACAGACAGCAGAAGGTCAAGAAGTCCTTGGAAAATAAAAAGTATGTGAATGTTTCTTGTCTAGTTTGACTGAGGGTAAGAAAAAAGCTGAGAGATTCTTATCGAAAAACTGTATGTGGTCTTTATATAATATTGTGAATGTTAAGAGTTGCAGCAGTTTTAGTTTGTGTGATAAGTCTCTACTGACTCTGCTTATTGGTTTGTGGGAAAAGTGCTTTTCTGACACTTCAATGTGGGGTTTTTTTAAATTTTTTTAAAGGGTTTTAACACTGAAGATAAATATTTTAAGTCCAAGACCACATGGTCTTCCAAAATCTATGTATTTTGGGTGTGATTGTAACTGAAAGGCTTTAATTTGAGAATTCCTCTTCCCATGCTTCTGCATTATCTCCTTAAATATAGTATATATTGATCTGACCTGGTACTGTCAGTGTCCCCCACTTATTAATTCCGGAATTGATGGGTTAAAAGGTGAGCTCCATAGCTCAGGGTGTAGGAGAGTGTTTATGGAATGGCTGCCACTGTCATCACTCAAGTGATCTACTTAGTTTGTGAATTGTAGTAGCAAAGTGTTTCTGTTCTCTGGTTTTTTTCATCTTTACATTAATGGTATTTGCCCAGAGAATAGATAGTCTGTGTTTCTTTGACACCCATCAGTTTGCTGTTATGTACAGGAGTATAAATGTCCAGGCATGTCAAGCCTGAGAGAAATATTTGAGAACAGTGAAACAAAGTTCTGTTTGATCTCTAGGAAAAAAAATCAGTGCCACTGATTAATCTGAATTAGTCTTAATGTAGTTTGATTTGTGGAATATACTAGAAGGTTGTCTTCATTGTGGAGAGCCTCGCTAGTTTAAATTCTTACTAGCATTAAGGCTTTTAATTGTGTAGTGCCAGCCTTGACTCTGGGAATAGAGATTGAAGGAGCTCTTGCCCTTTGTGAGATGGAAGATGTCTCTTTTGTAATGATGGGCTGCAGAAAAATTCTTATCTTCTACATTGGTTGCTTAAAGATAAATGCATATTTTTAAGTCGAGATTCACTTACGCCTGCTTCTAAAGTTGAAGGTTTGAAGTAGAAGGAATATTTTTCTGCTCCTCTTGAGAGCTTACTAATGACATTATCTAAAAGATGTACTAAAAAATAACAGCGAAGATGGTTTATCTTGATGGCATTTTTCAGTTCCCAAAACACAGGAGATTTACTGAACTATGGGATGAATTTTTAGAATACTTGGGAAGATGAAAGGGGTGTTGTCTGTCAAGTTATTCCGATTGTGTGTATATATATCCATATACAGATGTGCGTCCATATACATAGGATTTCAACTTGATGTTTTCCAGGTCTAAGCAATTTGAGGAGGTGGAAACTACTGTTCTAGGAGTGAACAGTAA